TTAGGAAGCAGATAAAATTGTCCTGGTCTACAGTCAATAGGATTGAGTGTCTCATAGACGTTGTTACCAATCTCGTTTTTCTCAAACATTTCGTCAAGAGTTTTGGTGATGGCGGTGGAGAATTCTTTAGTGGGGTCAGAGTCCAGTTTCTTATAGAAACGTTCGTCTGAGAGTTGTCTATGGGCCTCCGCCATGTACGTCTCTTTGTCAAGCACTACTACTGTAGAGCCTTTGTCTGCTTTCTTGATTACAATGTCATCCCGATTCTTTAATGATTGTAAGGCGGATCTCTCCTCCTTACTCAAATTGTCGGGAGCCTTGTCTGGCATTGAAAGGAGTTTCTCTATGTCTGACTCAACGGCGTCAATATACGACTAAAGGGCTCCGCATTTGCCCGGTGCAGGTTCCCAGTCACTTTTTGGCCGATAGAGTTTGTGTTCCTCTAGGTCGTGCAACTGTGGCTGAGAAGAGTCATATGAGTCAACTTCGGAGTTTTTTCTAGAAAAATGCTCCTTCAACCGAAGTCTCCGAAAGAAAGCTCGGGTGTCCTCTCTGACTTGTTTTTCGTCGACCTCATGTGGCGTGGGACAGAAATTCAGCCCCTTGGAAAGAAGTGAGGTCTCCGATTCGGAGAGAGGAACACTAGATCTATTGAGCACTGGGCAGACGTCAGGAGTTTGTGAGGGTCCGTCCCTCGCGATTGTCGCTAAGCGCTTGAAGCGTCTCGAGCGGGGTTTACGTGTTTTGTTAACTCGGACCTCTGATCGGTTGTTCCTGGTCTGTGGAACACTGTCTCGGAGAAATTTCTTTCTTTGAGTCTTGTTGAGTTCATTTGTTAGGGCCATATTATAGGTGTCAATAATATTATGGGCTTCATCAAGATCAGCTTGGGACATGCTATCAGTGAGGGATGATTCTAAGGAAGTGATATCACTCTCAAATTGCCCTAACTTGTGGATATCCCAAGAAAGACAGAGTGACATCAATTGTTTAGAACACCTCTTTGTAATATCTTCCCAACGTTCTTGAAAGCGTTTGGAGATCGGCCCTATGTTAGGCGTGACATTAATCTGGAAACCTTTAGGTATAATGTCACACTCTAAGTAGGTCTGTAAATTCGAGACCCGGTGTTCAGTTTTGATTGATTTTTGGTGTTGTTTCTTCAGAAGTTTGAATGTTGGATTACTTTTTATAGACATGACCGATCTCCAAACGCTTTATAGTTAGCGCTATTGGACACCCCACGGAGAAAATTTCTGAATACATCGATTTACATCTCCGTCCACACGTAGAGAATTTGCCATCCTATCTCAAGGACACCACGGACTACATTAACAAGACGCCCTCTACTGGCCTTCCAGATCATACCCTTCTCGTGACTATGGACGTCACATCTTTGTACACCAATATTCCGCACGATGAGGGTATCGAAGCCTGTAGAGAAGTCTGGGATAGTAGATCCATACAAATTCCTTCTACCGAGTCCCTTGCCAAGCTCCTTGAACATGTTCTCAAGTATAACAACTTCATGTTTAATGGAGAACATTACCTGCAGGTTAATGGCACTGCTATGGGTACGAAAATGGCACCATCTTATGCCAATATTTTCATGGGCAGACTGGAACGCAACTTGCTACTTCAAGCACCATTTAGGCCCCTTAGCTGGTTGCGTTTCATTGACGATATAGAGATGAAGTGGGTGGAATGTCGCGAGAGCCTCGAGGCATTCATTTCGTTCGCCAACACCTTTCATCAGTCTATCAAATTTACAGTAGACGTATCTAATTCGAAAAACATATTCCTAGATACTACATCTACCCTGACTGATGGTGAAATCGAGTTCAGTCTCCACACGAAACCCACAGATTCCCATCTGTACCTTATGCCAACTAGCTGTCATCCCCCACACACATTTAAAGGTGTGCCTAAGGGTCTAGCCACCAGAATTCGGCGCATCTGTTCATCCCCTGCCTTATATCAAGAACAAAGCGGTCTCCTTAAGTCCCACTTATGCAAGAGAGGCTACAATGCCCGCACCGTACAAACTGCTATTGATGAGATGGCGGGACATGACAGGCAAAACCTATTACGCTACAAGGAAAAAGACAATAGCGGCAGGGTCCCTCTGGTAACCACATACCATCCCGTCCTTAAGAACCTCAGCGGTATCCTTCAAAAGAATCTACCAATTCTCCACTCAAATGAACGAATGGCAGAGGTCTTTAAGGAGCCCCCATTGGCTGCATACAGGCGCCCGAGGAACCTGAAGGACATGGTAGTAAGAACCAGATTGGACAATCCATTACCTAACGGGGGCTTTAAAACTTGCTCTGACAGAAGATGTCTTCTCTGTAAGTACAGCTCTGACACAGACAGTTTTAACAGCCCCGTTACAGGCCGCAGCTACAAAATACTAGGGAATTTGTCCTGTCAAACAGACAACTGCATTTATCTCATCAGCTGCAAAGTTTGCTCCAAACAGTATGTTGGTGAAACAGGAGATCTCCGCAGGAGAGTCAATAATCACCGTTCTACCATTAGGACCAAAAAACTCAATGAACCCGTTGGGGAACATTTCAACCTTGAAGGTCACAAATGGGAGGACATGACAGTAGTGGTTATTGACCATAATCCAAGATGGACAGACGCGCAGAGAAAAGGCAAGGAAAAGTTCTGGATGCACAGGCTGAAGTCATTCCGCCCTAATGGTATTAACAAACTTAATGACTTCACCAGGATGAACGTGAACTAGACCCAATCCCGAATTGTAACAAACAAGTTCATTCTCTCTATATAGTGTAAACTTTACCGTTAATTCGTATTAGTAATCCTGGAACAACCTACCCAAATATTTACAGCTCACATTTTTGTTTATTTCTTTTTTTTCAAATTTATAATATATCCAAATTCATATTTCAAAATTGTCCTTCCATATTATCTTTCTTTAATTTCTTTTTATCATGTAGAGTTACGCTATTTTGAGAGAACAAGACAATGTACGATTTACTGTTGGCCGTAATTAATTAGCGATAATTAATTCGTTCAATTATGTAAATCACACTTCACCAGAGTACACCCGATAGACCGGACGCAATTCATAGCGCTCCGGATTTCTTTGTTCACAACTGTCTATAAACTCAAAATTAAACATGTAACATTGTAAATATTTAGTGTTTGGTAGTTTAGTAGTAGTGCTAGTTGTTTTTGCTTCTCTATTTCCTTTGTTTTTATGACTTCTTAACTTTTTTCTTTGTCCTGAGGAAGGGACAGGTTGTCCCGAAAATTTGACAATTATTATTGTTCGTGTCGTTGGTCATTTTTAGTGCTTTATATATATATATATATATATACCTGACGTTAAGTATTTTTCTTAATATATAAAAAGGACCCCATATTTTATTAATCAAATTTGTAAGTTATGGGGCTATCTTATTTTTTTAAAGAAAAATGTGATTTGTAACGACAAGTGCCTATACAAATCAGACTTGTAATAGATTGGGCTTCTAGAAGAACAATGACCCCCCCCCCCCCAAAAAAAAAAAAAATGTCAGCTCACTTAGACTGTAGCGAAACTACTATAAAATTAACCTATGGCTTAGTTTGAATTAACAATTTATTTTTGACATAATCACAATAAATATTCATTTATCTGACAGATCTATGCATTTTATAGTGAAGAGAGCGTTGAGGCAATAAGACAATTTGTATTTTTATAATCTACACAATCATTGATCTTTCAAATTTATTTATACGTTTATAAGTACATGTATCTGCAAATGGGACAAATATTCCTTTATTTTTAGATATGATTGATGAACAAGGCGTGCAGAATACATGTACCTATAGCTTCAGATATATAAAAGTCATATTCAGTTCGCGAATTTAGAATTTAGAGCAAAGTTACCTCAACATTATTGAAATTTATGAAATTATGGAAAACGAAACTTTTTTGAGGAAAATTGTCTCGGCAAAAATTTTTCTGTTATTAAAAAAAATAGTGTGATATTCGTGGGGTTCGAACCCTAGCAATAAAAATCCTGAGTATCGTTTTCCTTTGAGACTAATAACACGCTTACATGTATCACTACGATACACATATCCTGAGGACTGTTGGCATTAAAATCATGTTTGTGATATGACCCTTGACTAAATGGACTTAAGTATTTCTCGGAAAGATGCGAATGCTGTGTCATAAAAATGTATTTTTAAGGTAAAGTGGGTCTTGCTCCATGTTTTTGTTAACCAAAAATGTATTTATTTTTTAACTTTGAGGATAAACTTTCAAAAATATGGCGCGAAGACCCACTCACACCGAAAAATTGTGTTATAGTATAAGAAAATGATCCGTTTTGCCCTCGTTAGTGTATGCTATTTCATGTGAGATTTTTGCACATTGTGGAGAATTTACATAAAGTATATCTTAATTTTAGATGAATTTTTTAATTTAAGATACAATATCAAAGAAAATTTTGTTATAATTGAGATTTATTTTTTCACCTTCATGTTAGTCGCACTGTAGGCATGTCACTCGCTTGTTCGCCAATCTTCTTTTGACAAACACAGTGAGATTGATCTCGGTGGATTATATTGAAGGACAGTTCTGTTAGTCAAAAATTCCGAGTTTGGTTATGCTCATTTGACTTTAATTAGATTGACATCATTCGAAATTTGTCCAGCTCTGTGGGTGAGTGAGTGTTTGTGTGTGTGTGTGTTCTCAATGAAATGATTAATGTCACTCATACAAAATTACAATGAAAGACAATGTATGTCAATCAAACTTTAGAAAAAAATAACTTGCTATAATTCTGTTTAAAAAACAAGAACAACAAGAGTTGCTCATTTCAGCACCCAGATTTAATTTTTACCTACGAGGGTCATTAAAAAAATACGTAACTTTTTATTAAAATGTCATATTATAAGCAAATTTATTAAATATACTTAAACAATAAATCTAATGAATTTGAATAAAACAATTCAAATATGTTAAGATAATATTTTACCTCTCCAAAGACATTAAGAAGCGAAATACTCATGTCCATGGTATTCAATCCCTGAGCTACCAGTTTCTTTTTTAAAATTCCCTGTTCTCTCAAAAATTGCGGACGATCTGGAAATCGGTGTCCCACTAGCGTCCATGACGAACCTTCATAACCCGGACAAGGGTTTGGTACTATTTTCCCATTAGGAATATTGAGAGCGAAGGGCGGATATCCGTAAATTGTTCCAACACAAACACACAGAACTGTTAACTTAAACATGGTTTACTGCCGAATGACGATATGTCACAGCGTCCTGACTTAATAGGCGTAATCTCATTTGCGTTTTTTACAAATTAGCCGTGACGTTTATGCAGATTAGATTCGAAAGAGCAATTTACATTTGTATTTATCTTATTTTTTTTTTTAAATTCACCTGAGCCAAAAGTTTTCCTGTTTCACAGTAGGTCTGTATGTATCCCCCCATAATTTCGAAACCAATTTCAACCAAATTTGCCCTAGCTCATTCTTGGAAGATAAAAAGAATTCAAATGGAGGGAGGGATTCACCTTTTTTTTTCAAGGGGAGATAATAGTATTAATAGAAAGGAGTCTTTTAGAAATGTTATTTAGAACTGATCATGAACCAAAGATAACAAACATTCGGTAAGGTTTTATGATAAAACTGCACACACAAATATTGCATGTCTATTTAGGAATTTAAATGAAATATTCAAAACTAGAAATATGTGAATAGGACATGAATTCACATACAACATGAAAAGAAATATGATGAGTGCGCTTTTGGCGTAGTATAACTATTTTTTTTTTTAGATTCACTCTTGATACATTTTTAAAAGACTCTAGACGGGATATAAGAATTTCCGGTTGGGGTTGTAATCTACGATAAAACTAGAGACCTCAGAATGGAAAACTCGGAAGTTTCTGGTTTTATCCTACATTTATAACCCCAACCGGAAGTTCTTGTATCCCGCCTAGAGTCTTAAAATGTATCGAGGTAATTTTCGAGGGATAAATAAGTGGTTTACAATAAAGTGGCTCGACCAGAGACGTCTGAAACGATTTATTTGAAGAAAAAGTCTCTCGAAGCGAATGATGTCATATTAAAGTAGGTTAAAGTGACAGTACGGCGCATCTCATCAAAAAACTGACTAGATAAAATTTTCCGACAAGATTTGGAATTTTTTTACTACTCATAAATGTATAAACTTTCAGAAAATTACAACTTTTACAATTAAATAATTTGGATTATTTCATTAAAATTAATAGTTATTTATGGGACGTAAATATATACATCGCAACGTGTTCGGGGTTCCACATTCCATGCTATGCACGCATGCGTAGTTTTCATAAACAAAACAGCATGGTTAGAGAGGGAATCCCGGTAGGCCTGCTACATTGACAAAGTCGACCAAAAAGAAAAAGAAACTGAAAATAGAACTTGAAAAAGCAACTTTCCTGACTAAAATTTAGTTTGGGGATTAATAAAATCGATGGATAAGGAAGAAACGGGAACTCGGCGACACTCACGCAGGGCTCTCGAAGGTTCTATTCGACAGGTTTGTTGATACTAGTTATCATTTCTCATTTTTCCGTCGCTTTCAAAGAAAAACAATAGTGTAAACTCAACATAAAAAATAAATTTTTGACTTATAAACATTGTTGCCATTTGAAATGCTAATTTTTTTTAACTGTGCAGAAAAATATTTTGTTTGACATTTGCCGCGATAACGTATGATTAGTTGGTTTTTCCTTTCTCGGACCCCATTACACAAAACGTAAACATTTGTACTTTTAATTCTGTTAAATTCGCCTGAATGCAGACTAAAATCTTTACGATTATTATTTTAGATTATTTATCAGAAAGTTATGATAATTTGTGTTTTTGAAAATTGCTTTCACCTAATATTCATTATAACTGTAAACTCTACAGTGTAGGCACGTGCCGTTTTAGAATTCTCGTTGTACAAATAAACAGATCTAAGATTGCTCCAGTTCGTACGACCCTTGATTTTCCGGCAGATTCTAATTACGTTAATTTTGTTTGAGTAGAGAATATTTCTGTTTCTCAAACTGCTTACATCAACTTTATACCTTATTTCTTAATGACATATTGGGTAAATTTGGATGAAAAAGTACACATTTTGGAGCCGTACTGTCGCTTTAATAATTGATATATTAACAAAATACAAGCTTGAAGCGGGGTGCCTGAAATTGAGTTAGGTACGTTATGGAAAGAAAAAGAAGGGGATGACCCCATATACGGAACAAGTGTCTGTGTGTCAGAGTTTTGGACAAACAAGTACCTGTATTTCAAGGTTAAATCTTTCTAGTCTATAAGTATCATCAGATATATATCTGGCATCATACTGTATATGACTTTAAAATATTATTGTTTATTTCAGGCACTATGTGTTCTTTTTGGGTAAATCTACGTCACGTAATGGCGTCGCGGACAACGGACTACAAATGTTGAAGTCGTGGAGAAATGTCACTGCTACTGTTGTTAAACAGGCGTTTCAAATCATATGCAGGTACAGATATAAAGAATGGTTCCTTCTGAAAAGATTGGTTTATGTTTTGTATTTTTCGATTGAAATTTGATTGCGCATGCAGCAGCCTCGATATTAACAGAGATGTTCCCAGGTGACCTGGAATGTGTTGCACTCCGTGTGTTATTATATTATAGTATTCCATATTTTGTTTTTGATTTACTGAAAATTTCGGTAAAATTGATAGGTATGCCAACGCCTGTAGCATGAATTAGGCATGCCAATGAAAAAAGAACAAATACTGACGTAATTGTTTATTATTTTCAATTTATGAGCTCTTAATTTTCTCCTACTTTAAATAAGTCATAGTCTGAGAGAACAGTTATCTAGTTCGATACATTTGACCCTGAACAATAAGTACCCCTGTGATGTTGTATCGTAATGATATTCTTACAAAATATTATTGTTTATTTCAGGCATTATATGTTCCTTTTGGGTAAATGGGCGCGGCTGTAGCTACTTCACGTAATGGAGTCGCGGTCAGTGGACTACGAATGTTGAAGTCGTGGAGAATTGTCACTGCTGCTGTTATTAAACAGGTGTTTCAAATCATATGCAGTTAGAGATATAAAGAATGGTTCCTTCTGAAAAGATTGGTTTATGTTTTGTATTTTTCGATTGAAATTTGATTGCGCGGCAGCCTCGATATTAACAGAGATGTTCCCAGGTGACCTGGAATGTGTTGCACTCCGTGTGTTATTATATTATTATAGTATTACAGATTTTTTTTTTTTGATTTACTGAAAATTTCGGTAAAATTGATAGGTATGCCAATGAAACAAGAACAAATACTGACGTAATTGTTTATTATTTTCAATTTATGAGCTCTTAATTTTCTCCTACTTTAAATAAGTCATAGTCTGAGAGAACAGTTATCTAGTTCGATACATTTGACCCTGAACAATAAGTACCCCTGAGATGTTGTATCGTAATGATACTCTTACAAAATATTATTGAGTACATTAAATTTATTAGTTTATTGAGTAGCAATTATTGACGGAGCAGAATGGATCAGAAACACTTGACGTCTAACGATATGATGCATTGCGAAATGCAAAACAACAATTGCATAGAGAAATGAAGACGTCTTTAAAGTTAATGACTTTCACGTGTTGATAACGGTATTCTGATTGATAGGAGAAACATTGTCTGTGTATGACTTGACCGTGACAATTTATGCAAATTAGATTGAAACCAATTAGAATAGACATTATCCGCGTTATTTTATATTCACAGTATGATTTTAGTTTTACACAGATGCCCTCGAACATGGCAATGTTGTGATTTGATCAATAGTTCCTAAATATACTATTCAAATGATTATACGAGATGATATAAGTGGACAAAAAGATGTTTTAATATTGAAGGTTAAAGCTGTCATTTCATGTTATTAGTCAAACCAGGGAAAAACATCCCCATTTCGGGCCTTTTGCCTTCGGAAAAGATATGTTTTCTCTGAACTACATGTATTCAACACCATCGAGTTATTTATGCTACTTGAAAAAATTGAATTATTTACCCTTTACAGAAAAACAAAAACAAGTTACCATGGCCTCTAGTCTCAGAAAGAGGAATGTTGATAGACTTCGAAAAAATAGTGAAATTCGCATGCTCCGATTCAATGTTTGATTTATACGGGTTTTGCGCAGTAAATAAATGTAGCGTAACGTTGACATAGACGATAAATAGACGGTTTTGAAACAGAGTACCATCTTTGTTCTTCGCTCTTAACTGTAGTTAAATTTGTTAAAACTTTGCACTCATATTTTGATAATTTTAATTTATGACACTATTATCATAAGAGAGACATACATTGTATTATGATGACTCACTGTATTTCTTGAAGGTAAAATGTAGGTTGCAGTGACAATACACGTAGGTGTACAGTGCTTTGTTTCAACATTTCTTTCTCTCATACAAGAAACGTTCAAGATTAGGAAATAAAAGCATAGATGAATTGGCATTGAATTAGTCGACATGTTGACATAGGACATAAAATTCCGGGGAAAAGTGGGTAAATTTAAATATTTTGAGAATGAATGACTTTCTGAACTACTTGTTTTAAACACATTTTAAACACATAAGAAATGTAAAAATTGACCTGAAATGTGACTTCCTCCGAGTAATTATTTCGAATTCTGCTTTCGGTGCGTTCCGCGTCTCATTTACTCTCTAGATGTATCTGAGTCCCATAGCAAAAACAAAGACTTCATTTTCTATTAAAATGTTATCTGTATAAGAACTCTCGATATGATTTGCTTAAAAAAATGTTGGAAATTCAAATTTACAAATTAATAATTCAAACATGTTAAATGCTCTATTTAAATATCTATCAACTCCTTTGCCATGTCAGACTGCTAGTTTCAAATACAATGCATATAACATAAGGCAAAGAAAACCCATACGTATGTAATAAGTATAATTATGTATATTGTTAAAATTGACTTACAAGTAAGATAGGCCGGATGTTGTACATGTACATATGCTTATTTGTATAATGAATGTAATACAGTATGCCACTATAAAAAAAATATATTTACTTATCTATTTACTTACTGACAACATTTATTAAAGCGTCGGGAAAAAAAATAAAGAAACCCTGAATATAATATCAATGATAATCGTGCATGTATATAGACAACAGAAATTTGTAATAGCTCCGACAAAGCACTAATTGACTATCGTTATTGATATTATCATGGCGATATCCGGATCCCCGGGCATTTTTTGTCGCCTTGATAATTACTGTATCCGGTATATCATCAGAAATGTACATAATATTAAAAAGGTTCTTAAATCCATGTGGCACTGATAAATTTATTATCTAAAATTTTTAATTTTTTTTTCCTCCAATTTATTTATCATTAAATTCAGAGTTTGTTTTGGGTCATTAAGACACATGAATTTAGAGAGATTTTTTATCTTTAAAAATACAATATACGAGAAAAATGGAATTCATTAATTTCTAAATATGATAAGATGCAAGTACTGAATACAGTTAAATACACAAAAGCAGGGAACGGGTGCAATAAATGAATTCATGTGTACATGTGTGTGTTTATGCGTGAGGGTGTATATGTGTATATTGTGTGTGCGCAATATTTGAATTATAGTTTAAATTTTGAAGAAAAAGCAAAAGAAATAAACTTCTGGGGATGTTTACATTTTTATAACATATTTTATGCAAAACGTTGGTGCATGCTCATTTACCTGTGCATAGATATACATGTATAAACATCAGGGCTGTAATATTTAGTACGATTTAAAAAATTAATGAAATACATGTATATAAGTTTTAGATAGAAAATGATTTATAACAATTATTTTACATCAATTTCCATTTATTTACAAGACATTTCAAGTTTTACATGGCACTATATAAACTATTAATAAATGGTTAAATGTACAATTACATATATGCATGTTTGTATATCTATTTTGAGTAGACTGTTCAAATAGGGCCGTTTCAAGAATTTTCCAGCTTAATCAAAATAATATCCATGCGGTGATAGACTGAAAATATATGTGTAGGTGTTGGGCATCATGAATATCAGGCTATAGGCTTTAAAATTTAATTTAGCTCACGCACACAACCCGTTCTGTCATATGTTTTCAGCATCCATTTTTCTCGACCTACGGCCTCAGGACAAATATTACGGACATGCAATTCCTCTGAATAGCAAAGTGAACATCTTGTAAAACACGTTAACTAGTGTGTAACTGCGTGATAATTAGAAGTATTATCAACACTTTTTTCCGGAAATTCGGCTCAACAGCCATGAACAATTTGTATCTTGTAAAACGTTTTGCCCCACATCTGTATACTACACTAGTACTCTTTTGTAGAAATGATTATATTCTTATTATTGTTAAGCACTTTCCATTATGATATTACTTTCCTACAATAAATAAATAACAAATAAATAAAATAAAGAAAATATGAATATATTTTCTCCAGGATGAACGTACATGTAACTGACTTCAGCATCTTGAAAATACAACTATTATTTATTTTTTGACAAAGAAGATGGATGAAAACAACGCAGGCGAAGTGCCTACAGTGCGACAAACATGAAGTGAAAAATAAAATCTCAATTATATCAAAATTTTCTTTGATATTTCTTCTAACTTTAAAGTATACTTAATGTAAAATCTCTACAATTTACAAAAATCTCACACAGACTGAAATTATTTGCCTACGAAATAGCATACACACACTTAAGAGGACAAAAAGGATCATTTTCTCACGCTTTAACAAATTTTTTCGATATGAGTGGGTCTTCGCTCCATTTTTTTGAAAGTTAATCCTAAAAGTTTGCATAAAAATGTACGTTTTTTGGTTTACAAAAACATGGAGCAAAGACCCACTATACCTTAAAAGTACACTTGTATAACAAAGCATTCGCATCTTTCCGAGAAATACTTGAAGTCCATTAAGTCAGGTCATATAACAAACATGATTTAAATGCCACTATTCATCAGGAGCTGTGTGGCGTAGTGGTTAGCATGTTAGTCTCAAAGCAATATGATACTCCGGATTATTATTGTTTGGGGTTCGAATCCCACGAATACCATTTTATTTTTTTTAATAAAAGAATATTTTCCGAGATCTTTTTTTCTCAGAAAAGTTTTGTTGATCATAATTTCATAAATTTCAATAATAAGAACTTTACTTTAAATACTTAATTCACAAATTGAATATGATTTTTTTAATATCTGAAGCTATAGGCATTCTGCACGCCTTGTTCACCCATCTTCTTTGTACTGCCTAATTGGATATTTCATCAACATGAGGCACTTTGATAAGGTTGTTTTATAAGAAAAACAACGATATTTTTCTTCTCTTGTATTAAAGTAAATAGTTTGATAAAAGTTTATCGACATTTCTTGTTCACTTAGCCTCGAATTATACGTACACATGTAACGAAAATCATCATACTGAACGTATAATTCCAAGTAGAATATATACATTTATTCCGTGTTCATAACATCAGAGACATAAAAACAGAGACGGAAAAAATATAAATTATGCATTAACTGAAGCCTTGATTTATTATGATGCTAAATCATTTTATCAAGGTACATTACGCTGTCAAATGATGATTTGATACGTACGAGACCTGTGTTTACAACACTAGATCTTATGGTAGACGTTAAGATGTTAAATTAATATTCAGTCACTTGTATTTTATGGTTGTTGGAGAGAAAAAATCTCTTATAAATTACGTAAGACTGGGAGAGGTTTACATAATAATTATGCATTTCCCTCAACAAAACGCTCTTCATCAATCATTCCGTGAATTAATTTGCATTTTAGTCGGTAAAGATCTTTAAAAGTGCTTTAACATCCGACGCGACAAATAGTTTGTTATGATTATAAATAGGTTTCTTCAAAATGCAATATTTTATCAAATACATGTACAAGTATTTTATCATACATATATACATGTAAATAAAATATAAACACCAGTACTTTAATTATTGGTGCTTTATGTATTGGGACTATAACACTGAATATCAAATATATATTAAATATTAACTAATTTATAGGTTTTCTTTTTTTTTTTTTAAATATCATCTAAATGCACATTATTCTTGAAAATTAATTTCAAAAAGAATTTTTTTTTTTTTAAAAAAAGGTCACTTGTTTGATTTTCATGTAGTCCTGGGGCATTTCCTGCAATTATTCCGGTCAATGAAAATTTTGACAGAGCGCAGGTAACCATAACATGTTTTGACCAATACCTGTGTGGAAAGAGAAGGTGTGAAAGTGCATGTCCTGGGTATAAAAATGGTCCTCCGTGCATCTCTCTGTATATCTACCCTTCAGAAACCCACTGATATAGATCCATAATTCAATTTAAAGATCGCATTTCCTAAAACTCCCAAAATGGCTTTCAACGAAACGGAGATAAAACCCATCAAGATTGAGGAAACTGAGGATAGTGGTGTTTATGACGTAAATTCCTCTTTTGACTTGACTGCGTCATTCAACTCTTCAGAATCTCGACCCCGAATGCCTGACGAAGTGCGGCTGCGCATCAATAATCGAGAAAGACAACGGATGCATGAACTCAATGATGCTCTAGATGCACTGAGGCAAGTATTACCCCACTCTAATGGACCATCCAGGAAGAAACTATCCAAGTTATCTACCCTTGTACAGGCAAGGAGTCACATCATATCGCTCTCACACTCCATAGAAGAAATGAAAAGCATGGTCAGTTCCTTGTCAAAGAAAGATCCACAAGGCGATTTCTTCGAGTATGAAAACAGGAGTGGATTAAAGTATTTAAACCGTTCGAGTGCTTTCGTTCCCGCAGGACCAAGGTACTCTCCATATACATCGACACCCATCAAATCCGGGCTGGGAGATTTCCGAACATCAACAACACAGGGATCAAATGCTTCACCACTACTCTTAAAGTTACAAGACTCCGCAATTAAGAGGAAAGAAAACATGGACCCTTATAAACTCAAAGAAAATGCAATTGATTCGTTTGGTTTCGGGAGGCCAGATTTCTTGAGTCTTCCGCTCAGCGACAGAACGAGTTCATCTTTTTCTCAATATGTGACTGCACCTTTAGACCCGATCAAAAGAGATGCTCCGGAATTCGTTACTACAGCTTCCGATTTCTTAACTCCGACCAAAAACCAGAACTCATCACCATCAAAGCCTGTTCTCAAGTTCTCTGTTGAGTCATTACTCGGATTGTCATCAAACAGAATTGAAAATCCCAGTGATAATTCTACCATGGACGACAAAGAAAGCGATTTATAGTGCTTATCAGTGTTTCAATGTTGATAACGATTTGTTAATGTACAAAACAGTGCTTTTCATTCTATGAACATACATGTATTATAATGAATAACTGTAAATAAAACAACAGACTAAAAGAAATGCATTATTTAGTTGTTTTTCCTTGTTGGCAAAAATAATCTGGAGGTCAACATAAATATTTATTGGAAAAGAAGAAATGAGCTATGCTTAAATAGAAAAAAAATGCCTTATGTATGCACCTAGCTTAACGTCATAATCGGAATTCTCTGGATTTTACTGATGATTAAAAATCAAGAAATGTTTCATGCAACAAGAGATTAACAGTCTACATAGTCTACTTAGAATAAATTCTAAAGTTAGGAAAATAATCGAAAACCAGACAAAGCATTGATTATGATAATTGAAGTAAAGACTTTATTTTAAACAGTTCTCATTCGAACGTTTGTCAGTCGAGACAAAGAACATCTATTATTCTTACGTGCATCATGATACTCAATCATGTTTGCATTTTGACCTCAGAAAAGTGATCAATAATCGTTTATTTGGTTAAAATTTCAAGATCACACAGATATAGATCACAGAGTCTGGGAGTCGCCTTGGGCTTCTAATGGGGACAGAGTTCAAGTATCGGAATGAAGTAGGATTCGTACATCGAAACGAATTTTGTGCTTATAATGAATCTATACGTGCATGGAAAACTGTAAAAGAGGCCTATTTCTTTTAACCTTTTTTGCTCATTCCACACCAACAGGTGAGGGGTCATCGCCCCTCTGTTAACTCATAAAAAATGTTTTTTTTTTTTTTTTATAAAGAAATCTAATTTAGTAATTGATAATTAAAATGCACACAAAATCAGAATACTTCAGAAGCAAATTTGACAGAAGTGGTCTTTTAACTTGACAATTTCATAAAGGGATAATAGTCATTTACTCCTGTGAGAGTTACCTCCCTTGTCAGAGGGTTGTTGAAACCTTAAATTAAAAAAAAATTGGACTGTAGATATTTTGAGGCATTATATAACTAGTAGATATTCCATAATCTATCTACGTATATTTTATCGGATACTTAATAAATAAATACGTTTTTGTCGATTGTTTCTCCAGGAAATTAATTTTGAATAATTTCGTTATAGCCCCTGGCTTTTTACTGCATATATGAATAAAAACAAATTCGAAGATGTTTATATGTTTCATTAAAATTCGTAAATCAATTTATTTTTTTGAATTCCATTAATAAATTAGTCGATTTATACATTCGTCAACTGCGCAAAAGTATATATACAAAAGAATGCACTTTTGACAATAACAATAATATATATTAATTAAATGTTTTTATATTGGAAAATTTTTCCTATTGTGACAGTATTTTTATGTTTTTTTTATGATATCATATGATATTAGCAATCTGCTCTGTACTATATTTTCATGTATGTTTCAGTTCATCAGGGCCAATACTTAATTTGCATCTCTTTCCCCGCGCTAAGATTATTTTAAAATATGACAAATTCAGGCACTAAATACTAAGTGATTACAAATTGAAATTTAATAAAAAATAATGGTAATAGGTGAAGGCAAAGCGACAATAATGTTAATTCAATGGACTGTCATGATTTCAATATTTGGATCAGTCAAAAGAAATTCCCAACTGAAACTGATTTAATAAATGATGTTTGCCATAGACAGACAATTACAAGTAAAAATAATACGACTAAGAAATGGGTCAACAAATACAATAAGTAGAAAATACTCTCTCCATACTGATATGCCTTAATTACTACTTCACGAAAATGTAGAATTCGTACATGCTGTAAATTGAAGTCAATTTTAGTATAATGTCATACCTTTCAAATTATTAAGTTATGGACATTACAAACGATTTTCTCCACGATCATCATACTTCAAATGCTTTTGGACAATTTTGTGCAATAACTTTTAGTCGCATAGCATGGGATATACATGTATATATATGCGGTTGACTCTACAGATTGATTCCGTACAGAGAGATAATTTTTGTACTTTAGAGAGAGAGGATGAATATCTAAACATTAAAAAACAACGCTTAATTGTTTAAATGGGTCATTGTCCCAACCACACAGTTTTGTTGTCCCAACCACACAGTTTTGTTTTGAACATACTTTATCAGCTAGGCCCGTAGAACGCGGGGGGGGGGGGGCTTTTTTCTGAGTTTAATATTTTGCTGTAGTAATTTTTTCCATTAGATGCTGGTCTCTCTCTCCCCCCCCCCTTTTAATGTTGTAAGGTCGAGCACTGGCAAATTCCGGGATTTGGACATGAAATTAGTTGTTTTTTTATGTCAGATTTTTTTGGGGGGAAGTTGCCCCCCCCCCCCACTTTTGGAACCGTTGCTACGGGCCTGTTTTATTGACATAAGCAAATGGGTCAGAAACAAGTTCTTACAACTTACTGGTTCCTCTCCTTAAATATAACAATTGTCAGCAAAAAAAGAATGCAAAGAAAAAAATGCATAGAAATATTAAATTAACAAGTACCACACAGTTCATAACATATATGATGTTACATTGATTTGCAGAGAAATTTTCCCCCGTACAAATAATTTTCTAAGTTCCTTTGAGAAAGGGGAGGGGGAGGTTGAAAAACTGATTAGCGCATCACCAGAAATTCGATAATCGTAATTCTAATACAATTGGAAATGTGATAACCAAAACCAAGTTCTGGCTTTAAAAGCATGACTGAAGTATTCCATGAAAATATAAGCACGTGTACATTAACTTCTCAGGCACATTTAAAAGTTTGACTTAACCAATGGTAACCAGAAAAAAAATAGTCAAGTTCTTTCGATAAGAAAGCAAAATATGCAAATGATATTTACATGTATCAAAGTGACAAGAGTCTCAATGCAAATTGAAATAAGGCTTCTTTTTAAAAAAAGGAAACAGAAAATAAAATTAAGAAAGCTCATTAATATGGCACTTTAAAATAAGCTTCGTAATTGTTTTAAAGCATAACGCTTGCATATGTTGTAATAATATATTCATATTCTCCTAAAAAGCATTTATTTTTTAAACTTAATATATACGACCTATGACTTTTTAAAAAAAATAGTTTACAGTCAAAGAAATATATGAATAATCTCAAATATAAAACCAATTCTTCAAAACTATGAATCATAAACGTAATTTCATTTATACAAGTATTTATATCATTAAATTGTTTTAGTAATAATAAATCAATTTAGCACAAAAGATTGACAAAAACATAAATTGAAATTTGGAAAGTGCCAATTTGTTCAAATGTGAGAAAATACGGGATAAAAACATGTTTTACCAGATATCCATTAAGACACACGTTTCCAATGACTTGTATATAAAGGGACAACCCGAGGCTGAATGCTTTAGCCAATCGTCCAAAATATAATGACACTTGGATAATTATCCACAAATCGTTGCTTAAGAAATTTTAACACATTGCAATGTGTATCTATAGGTTATCTTTCTAAAACTAAAGTATTATACCAACTGAACTAATTAGAATTTAGACAAAGATAGTAGAAGACACTGATTTCTGAGAAAATTATGTTCTTTCATTAAAAAAAAAAATAAATAAATAAACAAAATTTGCTCCCCGACCTAGAATTCCTAAACTTGACATTTATAGTAACATGTGCTACTTTTTTTCTAAAATGGCGATGAAATTCAAATCAATGAAAAAGAAAATAAATGATAAAATAAAAATGATATTTAAAATAATAATAAGTCATTCATTTCCTTTGATAATTTAATGAAGCTGTCAGGCAATTAAAAATATGTTTCTCACGTCTTACTCTCAAGTCTTTATAATGTGCGAAATGAACTGATTTCATTAATAAAGGGGACACATACATATATTAATTACATCACATTTTATTATTATTATATATTGTTATTATAATTTTATGTCACATAAACACGGAAAGTGTAGGAATCGTTAAATATATTCAGGAATGTTTAAAATTAAACCAGAAGGTCAGAATCCTATAATAACTATTTGATGAAATCAAAAGGAATTTTATTCTAATGAACCAAGTCAACTAACAGAAAAAATAATGTATTGATCATGTTCAGTGTAACTCGTGACGTACTAACCTTTAAAATGCCGTAAATAGATGATGTGCACTAAAGTTGTTTTTTAACATCTTTTCATTGAAATGCAACCTTGCTTTTTAATGTGAATGTTGTTGAGTATATTGTGGAATACAAACACATTTAAAAAAAAAAAAAATTATTTTAAACTTCTAAATCTCTCCCTCCAATTTGTAATATTCTCTTGATTTTTAATATTTATCTTAAAATTCGCACTTTTTTAACTTTCATATTGCGCTTTTTTTATGTAAAAAAAAAAAAAAAGCAAATTAAATCATATTTCCGTTAAATAGCAACAGATTGTGTCCGTGTCAACTTAACTGTGCGTTAAAACAGCAGTCACTCGAAAATCCAACAAAAAGAAACATTATCAGGTTTTAGATTGCACATGTATTTTCATATGTCAACATGGAAGCTGCAAGATTTGCCGCGAGGCGGCGCAATTATCCCCGCGTGAGGAGAGATGACCGGTCTGATTTCATACAAATTCAAGGTTCAATGAGGTGGAAAGAACCTGACCAACACACATGAGTGGTCTCTAACATCCCTGGGTATCAAAGAGCAAATAAAAGGGGGTGTGGATGTCGTGACCACCATCAAATCTTTAGCTTGTCTACAAGTGACAATACAAAGAAAAAGGAAATGGAGAGCGTTGAAGATTTTGAAATTAATGTGGACAAAATTGAAGATACTGATGGCAACGACAGTGGTATTTGTGATCTGGACTTATCTACTGACTCTTCCAACAATTCCAGTTTTCAGACACCGCCGTCAAAATCTCGGGTTCCTGAAGATATTCGTCTTCGAGTGAATAGTCGGGAACGAGAGAGAATGCACAACCTGAACGCGGCACTGGACAGTTTGAGACAAGTGCTTCCGTACTCTAATGGTCCAACGGTTAAGAAATTGTCCAAAATGTCAACTCTTCTCTTGGCAAGAAACTATGTCATGGCTCTTACCAAATCACTAGAGGAACTGAAAAAAATGGTGAACGATCTTTCAAGCAAAGGACAACAGAATGCGCAATTAAAAGATATTTCTAGACTATCGAGAGCGGAGATGGCGGGCCAACATCGGGTTCGAACACCTTATTCACGGACTGAAATGTTTCCAAAGTCAAGATATTCACCTTATCAGACAAAATCCTCTCGCCGACAGTTAGGCGACATACTTCCAACGTCACATTCCAATATTAACCACTCAGGAATCCCGGAATGCCCTGTGCCTCTTGCAGAAATTGCCAATGTGCACAATTTGCAGAAAACGGTGGAGAAACCAAAACTTAGTTTTTCCGTAGAATCGCTCTTGGAGAAACCGACGAAGAAAGAGGACAACCGACCTATTTCATACCAAGACACAGAAGATAATTCCTCAAGGGTTTGGAGCGCGGGTGTGTTTGGGGCGCTTCCTCACGTTCAACCCAACCCTTACAGTTATCACCACGTGCACTCGCTTTCATATCCGTATCAACAGAGTGGACTAACATTCATGTGAAAACAAAGTATTATTGTGATATTGTAGATAGACAAATATAAATTATTATTCATATCAATATATAATTTATATATCAATACAGGCTTGTCAGTATTATGAAATTAAAAAATTCTTCACTCGCAGAAAGTTTTCGTTGTTTTTTTTTTTTTTTTAAGTGGGAGGAAGAGGGATTTGTATCTGTATTGGCTGCTGCAACACAGCCGAAGATCACTAGCATTGCAAATAATATTTCATTTATTTGATATAAGAAGAGAGATAACCCCTTTTTGTACCTACCAAAATGAAGGTTACATGTGGAAGCCATTTAAAATCTTGATAATCAAATTATCATAATTTTATTTGTTTAATTTTATCAATATGATACAAATATAACATTAATGAGAACTCTTCTAAAAAAGAATCTCTGAAATACATTCGTGTTCTCAGCATGAAATGAAAAGATGTCCGCATGTTTAGCCATAGCTGTATACCAATATCCATACCAAATAGAATATGCTAGTAAAATGAAGTAAAAAATGAAAGTAGAGGAGAGTGTGTGTGTGGGGGGGTCCTTTTCCATACATATATATATTTTAAAATGACGAGATTATTTAGAACAGAAAATGCATATAATCTGATTTCATTTATCAGTAGATTAAACTTCTTTTTTTTATAAGTATTTCATTGAAAGATTTTATGGTAAGAATGAATTGCAATCAGTGGCGCTATACTAGATTCAGATTTTATTATCAACTCACGTTCAGAATATTTTTCAATGAAAAAAAAAATGATTTGAAAATCTATTAATTAAATCAACGATATAAAAAATGAATTCTGTTTCAAACAATGTTAAATTCATTATTAATGAAGAATAATGCCCAAAGTATCGGGCATAAACGATTGTTCTGAATGGAGATAAACGCCATCGCATTTGCAGAGAAAGGCCCCTCTTTCATATATCTCGACCAAGTCCAGGAAATGTGGGGAAAAATTCTTATTAAAACCTTTCTTGTGCACATTTGTGCACCATAAAGCCATAAATTTTACCTTACAAGGTGTCAATTATTGAATTATCACTTCATTATTTTCTAACAGGTTTAATAGACACAACAAATGAGCCCTTTTGTATACACAATAAGTACTTCGCTTGACCAGGATTGACACCTAATATGACGTCAGAGCAATGGCGCATAACACCGGCGATCAAAATATGCATATTGAGAAATTCAAACTTTGAATCGCTGAAACATCAAAAATATTAATTTTCTAGCAAAGATTTTTAAATATATGATTTTAATAGCACGTAAACTTTGTCATATCAAAAAATTTTGAGACGTGATAAAAACCCTTTAATTACAAGTATAAATGTACCAGACTGAGATTAATTAAATCAACTATTATATATGTCACTTTCTTCCGCTTCAGTACTAGGGGCCTAGTGTTTTGTATACAATATATAGGTCCCTGTCTGTATAAAGTTAAAACGGTTTTTATTTTTTTTATCTATAACTACAATTGCTTACCAGGCAGTAGATATATGGAATCATTATACTATATCATTTTTAGTTTCCGTATATATACTAACATTAATTTATAAATAAAATATGTAGTACTGGTTTGGAATTTATTTAAAGCTATATATATTGTATCTGAGCTGGAAAAATAATAATACGAGATTGAGTGTAAATATACATGATATATGTTATTTACGTTCAAATTAAAAAATGTTCGACGATTTTGAGCTTTAAAAACCTTACGTTTCTATAGTTAAATTGACTTTAAATTATTCTGTCATTTAAATGTGGAGTCAATAAATAAATCAGTTATTGTTTTAAATTTTTAACATCTTTGAAACGCGATTGATTTAAATTGTGTAATTTTCAGGAAAGTCATATCTTTATTTAAAGTTATAAAACAAATAGAAATGTCCTTTTAATTTCGGTAACCTGAACTTATCAAAGAATACGCGCGCCATACATGACTTTCAAAAAAGTCAGCTAATGAACGAACATTTAGTTGCTGTAAAAAAAAAATAATAATGATACCAACATTAGATGATTTAAACTTAATTCATATCCGTAAGAAACGTAATTTTGTTGAAATTGTCACACTACTCCGAACACTTATCTCGGTTTTCATTATGTCACATCAAGGCTATCATTACCCGCCCTCTAGTGACACCTAGCGGGTAATACAAACCAGAGTCCACCATAATCTCACGCTTGGATTGGAATGCTAATATTTTCATTTCATACTGCAGTCTTTTTAAAGGTTGATGTGCCATCTGGTAGCGCCCGGTAATTTAATGATGTCACTGTTGATCTGACGGTCTCCAAACCAAATCCGCCCCCTAATTGCACGCTAACAACATCACTAATGTGAAAGGTATTGTCTAAAATCATGAGTCGGAAACGACTCGAATATCACGGATACGCCTCCATTATTATGATAATGGAAATTAGATTGCATCCAAGAGTGACTTTTCCATATAAACGGTACTTAAACTTGTTACCGTATGTTTCCGTTGGTCAAACAGCTATGTATGTATACTTACATTCACCTTACGCTTTATTTTAAATCTTTAATAAGACATTTTTTAAAATGATATTTTGAAAAAAGTTTTAAATACTTATTCAGTGTAAAACTCGAAGAAAAATATAAAGAACTCAGTATATTCTGTAAACTTGCAATAAGTATATACATGTATTATATATCTGATTGCTTTCTTGTTTTTCCCTGTCTTTTTCTCTGAATAGTTCAGACTTTTTTGTCATTATCAGATTCAGAGATGACAGTTATTCCTTTAAAAAAATTATCACCTAATAAAATCAATGTCAAACCAAGACCATAAATACGAGTGACGAATCTGTGAAAAGGGCTGTCCCTAAGTTCCGGTAACACATTGTTCTGTGAGAAGGCTGTCTAACACGGTAATTAGCCGTGCCCCTTATGTCATTGATATCATCGCCGAATCTTTCAGAAAAGGGAAGGAGCGCACAGCAGGTGCGCAATTAACTAATGCGACGTCATGACACGGTGTGAAGGTTACCGTAGACTGCACAGATATCATGCATGTCATTCGATTTGGACAAAGCAAAGTATTTTATCTTCTTGAAATATCAAATGAAACATTTCAGTTAATATGCCATGTTGATGGTGTTTCTTTGGGAGAAATAAACATGTACAGATGTTTCATTCATCATTCATGCTTTAAGAATATTTTGAGGCCAAAGTTAATCAAAAAAATATTTTCTATTGTGTTTCATGACAAAAATTGTCATGCTACATAATCTGCAGAGGAAAAGGGTGTAAATATAAAAAAATAAATGTTATAGCTTTATACATTAAAATGAATATACAGTTAAGTTTTCTGAATTCCTGACATACTTTAAGACAAATGAATAAATAAATAGATAAATAAATATAAATACCAACCATGAAAACGATAAATATCCATGCATTGTAAAGTATAAAACAATATTTTATTGAAGGTAAGACGCCTCTGAGTGTAAGTGTAAGATACATATATTAATAATGACATCATCGTCATCATTGGTTCCATAGTCTGTTGAACCTTAACGCTGATAATGTTCACATCTTTTTTTCTTAAAAAAGTTTTGGATTAAAGATATTTGAAGCACTAAAGAGGCCAAAAGTTACAGACTACATAATTTAAAAACTATTTACTGCATTTCAACATTTTATAGTCTGTTCCACCAAGCTATTGTCACCACTTTTTGCAACATATCTCAAAATATATAAATACCTTGGCCTTCAACTTAGGTCCGATCGATAGATCATTTTTTTTTCCAATTTTCCTCCATTTATCCGAACCCTCGAGTTCAACCGGTGTTTTGACACGGCGGCAAATTCAAAGTCTACGGGGATTTAACATTGCCAAAATGGCTGCCACTTCGGCAAGGGATGATATATTATTTTTTACTTATTCGTTATTTTCCGTAGCCTTCCGTCAATGACGTCACTGACGTTAAACGCAGCGCACGTTGACGTTATTTACGCATGCGTTACTGTCGTCAGAAGATATCCGTTTCGTTTTATACTTATATTAATATACATATTTTTTATCCATATACCATTATTATACAAGAAAATTCAACAATGCCAAGACAGAAAACGAAGAGCCGGCAAGTAGCAAAGTCACTGAAGGTATTAGCCTCAATACGGAATCATGAATATCTGTCGACAGTTTTTTTATCACTGTCGTTTGCAACTGTGGCTGAACTATATTCCGTAAAGTCATATAAATTTGAAGCCGTAAAAATCATAACGAATTTTTGGAGGCATTTTTTGTAAAATTCCTGATTAATTATCTCAATAGCTGTAACAAAAAAAGTTTACTTTACCTCACGAGAACAAAAATCCCATGAACACAGGGGAAGTCTTCGATACAATCACCAAACACCTACATACATCTATATAATCCAATACATTACACTAAACCATATTTTAAGCAGTGTATCCGAAGTGAATTGCAGTCCTTTAAAGCACTAAAGCTATTTATATATTTTGAGATATGTTGCAAAAAGTGGTGACAATAGCTTGGTGGGACAGACTATAATTAGGTATAAGGAGGATTACGCTTCCGTATTGAAACGTGTATATTAACTGTACTGATTATACGACAACATAAACACTGCCAATATAATGAAAATTTAATTAATAAAGTACATGTATATTAGGGGTGCAACGATACACTAACCTCACGATACGATACGTATCACGGTATTCAGTTCACGATACGATACGTATCATGATACATGACAAGGTTAAAAAGTCTTCCAAGTTTGTATTATTTTTTTTTTTAACTTGACAGGGTTATATAAAATGTTCATATTTTTTTTAATAATAATTAAAATAAAATTTTGTTAACTTGAATTGGATTGTTAGGTAGATCTTTGAGTTTTGACAATTTTCTAAACCAATGATGAACATTTACAGGGAACTACGGGACCTTTCCTAATAATCTTCCTTTTAAATTGGAATGAAAAAGGAAGACATTC